TCTACTGTATTATTTATGTAATACTTGAAGGTTAGACTATTTACAAAAAATATCAAATTTTCGAGTCTATCTTAATCCTTTTTTATACACTCCAGAAGTAACAGTTAACATGGGTTTTATTGAAGAATATACTTCTTAAAACAAAGGTAAACAATAAGTAAAAAAAATTCACAAAGTTAAAAACGATCAAGTGTCAGCCTTCTGATGAAGTGAAGAATTCTTCATGTTTTTAATGTAAAGTGTCAGAATCTAAAACAGAAGGCTGACACTTGATCGTTTTTAACTTTGTGAATTTTTTTTTTTTACTTATTGTTTACGTTTGTTTTAAGAAGTATATTCTTCAATAAAACCCATGTTAACTGTTACTTCTGGAGTGTATGTATTATTTAATAATATTTGGGATATATAGGCCTAATATACATCCTGAACATTTATTGTCATGTTGAATAATTTTTCACTTGTTTACTGAAGATGTTATTTGTGTATAGTTCATCAACAAAGAGAAAGTATTATAAAGCATTCATACATTTATTCTATTCATATGAAAGATATAAAAGGGGACTGTCATTAAAAAAATAAGCTAATTGTTTGATATCTCCTTTTACAATTTTCTCAATATATTGTAAAGAGTCATTTTTGGCTTTAGATATTTTCTTGATATGTGATAATTCTTGAGTTAAAATAGCATTAAATCTTTTGTTTTTCCTCATCACTTTTAGAATAAGATAATAGTGAAAAATAAAAGTATAAAGCAATTTGTTTTTTGTTCAATCTTTAACTAAGAGTTTGTTTCCTTCATTTTTAAGTCTTTTGGATTTTTTATTATGTTAGCTTTATTTTTTAAGTTTGGAAGCAAGCGTATTTTGACAATGATATCACAATGAAATAACTTATAACCAACTGATTTATAATTTCAGAGTGATAATGTTTTAATATAACGAGTAAGACTCAATCATATTAAAATTTAATTACAGTTATAAAATTCAATTTTATAAATGCAATTAAAATTTAATTAAGATTGTATAAGTAAGATTATATATCAGTATAATAAATTTTATTTTCTAAAATTAATTAGGATTATAATAAAAAGATTAATTTAAAGTTTACCATACTGAAAAATAAATCATAATTCTTATTAAGTTTATGTAAAAACAATTAATTTATTCTTACACTATGGAACGACTGACTTTATCCATAGGCTCAAATTTAAATTTCTGCATGCTGGAATCTTTTATGAATTCTGTTATTCTTTTTTCAATCTAAAGAATTAAATAAAATGTATTTTTAAATATTAAATACAAGTATTCAAAATTTTAAAAAAATTTGATTAATTATATGAAAATTTTCTGAAATTAAAATTTGAAAATAATTTGATTTAATTCTAATTATTAAATTTACCAAGAGATGGCGACTTAATCGCCTACCTCTACCCAAAGTGTTTTCTTTCTAAATTGTTATTAGTCTTATTATAGCATGTTATATAATATGGCAGTTTGTATTTGCAATATGCTTACTTGTTCTCGAAATCGCTTCAAATTTGCTTTATCTGCAGCCTGTCTTTTAATCATCTGTTCTTTTTGCTCTATAAATGATAAAAAATTAAATAATAAATACAAGTAATAACATAAAATAGTTAAAAATTTTAAATTTTAATTACAATTTCTTGAGACATTAAATGTAATAACATTTAATAACTAGTGATTTAATTAATATTTTTCTAATGTATAATAAAAAAATGAAAGAATTACTACATAATCAATACTTATTTTTACACATTACATTTAAACATTATTTTTTTTTAATAAAAAGTATTACAATAAAACCTTGATTTAAGGAACAGAATTTCTGGTCTGTATGTCCTATATGAAAATTACCATCCTATTAATTTTAAAATGCTTTTTATATGTAATTAAATTAACAGGCTCTTCTTTTTTTTTTTTTTTCAAATCCAAGAGTCACCACTCTTAACTTCGTGCCACAATGGGAGTGTCTCATATCATCATCCAAAGACAAATAAATAGAAATTTTTTTGTTTTGTATGAGATAGGCCCATTTCTGTGTTTATCTCCCAATAGATGAATTGTTTGAGAGTGAACTTGTCAAGCTTTTTTGGGGCGGGGGATGTTTCACCCATCTGTGGGAAGTTTCCATGAAGGATTTCCAGAGTTTCACACAGAATTTCACACAGCAATGCTGCTCCTTCAAAGAGCTCATTTCCATGGATCCGAATTTTTGCTGAGCCCCACAAACACCCCTTCACATAAACGGCCGTAACTGATCACCAAAACAAGCTATCAACAAACAAATTGAAGGAGGTTATTCAGGAGGTTTCCATGGACACAATGCATCCAAGTGGATTACAAAATAACCAACTGCTGGCGCACTATTCAAAAAGTTCGGGAACTTTTTGAACAACCCACATATATAGTGTGTAAGATGATAACTTGTTTTTTTATGTATGTTTATTTTATAATGTGTTGATTAAATTTAATTAAAAAAAATCACCTATAATTTCTTTGAAAAAAAAGGTCAAATGATTAATAAATATAAATGGAATAAATATTTTATCTAATACATTAATGATTCCCTAAGATAAACAACAAGAAATATTGCTTTGACAGCATTTATGATATAGACATTATCATTTGAATCCTACATTTTGAGCAATTTTTATTTTTAAGATTTTATATGAACTATTAGAAAATGTAGTTAGTTCAGAAATGTAGAAAAACAAATCCATTTCAATGGTTACAAATAATAATTGATTCATAAAGATTTTAAAATTTTGTAAAAATGTTACATTAATGAAATTAATCTTAGATGCTAAAACACATACATATCCTGGGTATCAGTTTTTTGATTTTTTGGGGGTTCAGAGTGTCTCAAAACATTGAGATTCAAATACTTGAGTTGTGCAGAAAGAGATGTGCTATGTATGAGACATGCATTATTAAAATCCATTTGGATGTGTCAAAGGATGAAAGGACTGTTGTGCACAAACCCTTTTGAACCGTGTAGTGATGTTCCTTTAGTCTAATATTCAATGGTCTGCAGGTAGCTCCAATGTAATCATAGTGCTGATTTTATGCAACATTCCACAACCTGAAGATGGATGTTAAAAATAATTGAAAACGTTCGTTTTGTATAATAAATTTTGTTCATTTTCACTGGATTACAGATGTTAGTTGCTGCTTTTATGACAATCATTGTTAAATAATTTCTAAAAAGGAAGGTTATTACTCATACTTTGAATATCATAAGTTCAACTTTTTAAGTATAAAAACTAAATTTTTTGAATGTTTTAATTTTTTGGCACAGTTCATAAGTAGGAAAAGTTCTATTGCACAATAATATACTACATATCAAGCATATATAAAATACTTTTTGTAATTAAAATTTTTCTTCAGTTAGATGAGAAACAATAAAATAAGAAAAATCAAGTGTATTTCAAAATTCCATTTCACATTTTAACATAAAATGTCTAGTCTAATAAACTGTCAAAAACTAAAAGATGAAATTAAATAAATAGTAAATAGATTATTATACATTTTTTTTTTTAATGAAATAATTATATAAATCACTAAATCAAATCACTAAAATAATAAACTAAAATCACTAGATATTTCGTATGTAAAAAGACACCTAAAAATTCTGTAAATGATCAATAATTACTTTGTCTTAATATCTAATTAAATGAACAATGACATATTATTAACAACAGAAAATCTCAAGACAAAAATTTAGTCAAGAACTAACTTGTATATTCACACTGTTTTTCTAATTTAAACTGTAAAAAGAAAAAATTCCTCATTTGGATTTTTGGTTATTGACGTCATTCATTCAAAAACAGCAATCAAAGTAATGATTAGTTTATGCCAATCTATAAACACAACAAACAACGATCTTTTCTCTCCATCATATCACTACAACACATTAATTAAAACATGTATTTCAATAAAAATAAAAAATATCTTGATCTTCCACCATCAAAAATAATCTTTGTGAATGTCTTCACTCTCCATAAAATTCTTACACTGCTTGGAAAGAATACATATAATGTATAATGACCACAAATATAAGAAAAGCTGTTTGGATGATTGGCACAACTTCATTTATTCATGATAAATTGAAAGCATGCCAACTGTACACAGAAAACAGGAAACACGCTAGGAAGTAAAATCAACTGAAGATTTCAGACTATGAACTTTAATTTGAAAGTATTCAATACCAGAATCGAATGTATATTCAAGATACCAAAAATAGAAGTTAGTCAGTGCATATGTCAGCATTTGTAGTCACCTACAACAGATGGTACTATTCAGTTTGATTTATTTGATAGATGATGTTTCTTTTGGCCATAACTTCAAAATAATTAATGATATATCCATCATATTTTTTACATTAAATAATTTGAAGATGTAGTTTTCCAATAATATACAGTTCATTAGCGTATAATAACAATAAATATTTTTTTAAAAAATGCTTGAACATTTTTAAAAAGAGCATTTTCTTCAGCAGAAAAAAATGTAAGAAATCTCAAAGTCTGGAAAAAAATTAGAAAAATCTGAATCTAGATTTAAAATCAGCACACTCAATTTAGCCTAAATCAAAAGAATTTTGTCTACTGTAAAATTCAGGTTGTGTATTGTTGTTAAATGCAAAATTTTTGATAGATGTATCAGGCTACAATTTGTTTTATTCTATCAAATAGGAACCTATATATCTTTTTATGTATTGTACTCTCTTGAATTTGTATACTAGCATGAATTTATTTCTACCTCACCAAGAACCTAAGACAGAATCATTGCCATTTCCTTTTTTAAATATGACATTGTTTTGATTTGGGATAAGATCAAAATGCTAAAACCATTAGATTTTACATAAATTCTATATAAGATTGTAAAGTAAGTAATAAAATTATATAATTNTGTAAGCGAAAACTTCTCTTTGCTTTCTCTTAACATAAAAAACAATAATCGATGTAACCAAACAAAGTTAGAAGTTACTTTCGTGTAATTTGTGTATATATGTATATACATACCGTACGTATATTATCTAAAACTACCGTAACTTCTATTCAAGGTTGTCGAGAGCTTGTACGGAGGTTTAATAAAAACAGTCTTAAAGACTTTATTTTTTGTTAGTAAAAATAACAATAAGTTATATGGGTAGAAATCATTAAGGGCCCTAAAGTTTTCTTTCACATAGAAAATTTATGAGCCCTTAGTGGTAGAAAGAGAAGCCAGAATTCCCCAGCTTCCCCTCTCGACGGCTCCCGCTTCTACCGTAATCAAACAGAATCACAGACGGATACGCATAATAGCTCGATGGGTCCCAGACAAATTTGAATTAGGAGGCCCCACGTAGTGTTGACTTCAGGGATTTTTCTTTGGGGGAATTTACTGGAGGAAATGAGATTGGCACGAGGCCCCCTCTGGTGTGGGCCCCAGGCAATTGCCCATAGGATAATGCAGATAAATATTAATCATCTCAACATTTAATTTGCTTCAGAACATGGAAACTGAATTAAAAAAACATTATAATTATTATTGGGGCATTTTACACAAATACTCTTTATTAATGAATGAATGAAGGTCGTATCATGTAAATAATCTTTTGATATTATTCGAAATCTTACTTTTTAATAATTCTTTCTGTTCATTTTTAATTGTCGGCGGTTTGTCCATCGAATTGAGAATACTTCCCAACAAATCCATTTTTCTTTTTTATCTCGATTATTCAAACGAAATCACATGTGAAGATATAACCGCCATTAAGTAAATACAATTGCTAATGTTAAACTTTTTGCCGCATCGAGGCGCTTCGAAATATACCAATAAAATCGTTATTATTTTATTAATATAATAATTTAGTTTTTTCTTTTATTTATTAATATATAACGCAGATTATTTTCAATTATTTTTATTTTATTTTTAATTATTAAACAGTTTATTTTTTGTTTACTGTTTCGTGTTGAGATACGAAGAGGTTTTGCGGTCGGATAGCCGAGCGGTCAAGGTGGCAGCTTGCCGCTCCGGGAGACCGGGATCGAATCCGGACGGATCTAAAATCACCAGGAATTTTTTGGGGTGGTCTGCCCTCATAACGATCTTGCTACAAAGAGGTCCTCTTAGGGCCCGCAAGACGGAAAGAGTTTTTTAAAAAATATGAAAAGGCAAAGTTTTTTCTTTTGACTTCATTTTGTGAGCATTATGAAGGTATCTTTTTTCCAAATTCATCGTAGGTTCGGCCAGGCACAGAATTGGAACGACCGAGTGATGAGAGGCGGGGAAACTTATTTGGAACTGATCGTCTACAAAAAATTCTGGGAGTTGTTCGCTCGGATCCAATTTCGGGTCTCCAGAGCGGTAGACTTATATCATAACTGCCTCGGCCATCAATCCCTTGCGTTAGAAATCCGTTTCGACCGTTCGTCCAAAATAAAGAATAGCTTGAATGAGTGTGCCATAGTTTTCGTAATCTTTTTTATAAAACAATACAGATGACTATCTGAAAAGGCCGAATCCGGACAGTAAGTGGGATAAAGTTTCTGATCATCTGACAGTAACCAAGAATCCAACTAGCACAAGCTTTGAAACCGAAAACCTTTCGTCATTGTATAGTGGCAGATTTCAAAATGTGCTGTAATTTCTCTGACTGTCTCATATCGATTTTCTTTTAATTAAGAGAGCATGAAGTCATTGTTGATTTTATTAGTTGCAGTCTGCAGGCGACCATTACGGACTAATTTGCGATAT